GAAACAGGCAACCCTGGTTGCCTCTAAGATGGGAAACCAATAATCATCAGGTTTCCATCCCTCTGGCTGAATTTCACAGATAAATGAGCAGATGAGCAATGAATCTTTTTCTTTTAAGAATGGAAACATCACATGTACAAGAAGACATTAGAAGACTCTTATACTTCATGTTCTCAATGGAGAAAAAAAGCAAAGATAAACTGAGACAAAGAAGAAAACAAAGATGGCAAAATTGAAGGCGACAAGTAAGGTTCCCACACTGACAATACGGAAAATAGCCAGAGCATAGAGGGAGAGTGGCAGTGAGCTGTGCGGGTGGAGAAGTATACAGGGGCCAGAGAGCAGGGCCCTGCAAGCTACATGGGATGGAATGTGGATGACACACTGAGAGCCATGGGCAGAGAGTGCCATCAATTCAGTAGGATGATCAGATTTGTGTTTTCAAGATTGTTTTTGTCTGCAGTGGGAATAATGGATTGAAAGAAGGCAAGAGTGGAAGCAAGAAGAATTGTAGGCTAGTATAAAAGATTTGGTGACCAGAGGATCATGGCCTGAACCAAGATGTGCAGAGAGATGGACAGACAAGAGTTATTTGGAAAGTAAAATGTCCAGGACTTGGGACTGATCAGGCATATGTAGTGGGAGATGAGTCAAAGACAATGACCAGCATTCTGGCCCGTGCTCATGGGTGGGTGGAGCCAGGAGTGGGGTAAAAAGCTGGTTTGGTGGGAAAGATATGTCAGTTGAACAGTGGGACATTCAAGTGAGGATGTCTGGCAGATAGAGCTATGTGGTCATCAGCCATCATGGAGCTAAAAAGGAAGCAGAGAGAGAAGTGGGCCCAGGGATCACAGCATGTAAGGAGCAGGCAAATGAAAGAGGAGTAAAAGAGAGCTCAGGAAAAGGGAGCCACAGAAGCAGGAAGAAAACCAGGAGAGCTGGCATCATGGACACCAGATGACAAGAGCATTTCAAGAAGGTGGTCAATGTCAAAAGCTGCCAAGAAGTCAAATAAGCCAAGGACTTGACACAAACTTTCTGGCAAGCTTGGCAAAAATAGAGGCAGTGGAGTACAGTGGAAGCAGAAGATACAATTCTAAGTCCTCTGCCAACAGAATTACAAATGACTACATCACCTGAATGTTTAGGATAACTGAAAAGTAAACCACAAACTGACCCTAAACACATGATAACAGATGAAGCAGGAAATAAAAGTTATAATTTATTTACAAATAATTATCAACCATCCACCAACATAGGATATGTTTAGTATCTGAAATCGCAAAGCAAAAAAAAAAAAAAAAAAAAAATCCAACACCTGAACAAAAGTGAAATTCCTAAAACATTAAGCAGAAAGACTACTCATTCCACTGTTTGAGCACTGAATTTGACATAAGAACCTCTAAAATGCCAAGACCATGGGCCACCAGAGCACCAGTGAGGGGTCCCTAAAGCCCTCCCCACAGGACCTAGCGGCCATGCCCCCTTCTAATTAAGGCAGGAAGGACTCAAATACAAGACCACACAGAAAGCTAGAAGAATTTGCCATCAGCACATTAACATGGCAACATGAGGGGAATTAGTCACCCAGGCTAGCCCAACACCATGCCCAATAAACACTAATCCCTTGCCACCAAAAACCTTCACTTCAAATCCCATCATCTACATGACTAATTCAGGTTGGCATTTTGCTTTCTGGAACAGGGAGTCCAGCCAAGCCAAGTTAACAGGCATAAGAAGGAAACCTAAGAACTGAGGAAAGAAAAACACATCAACTATGAAAACCACAGACTGTTGTCCTGAGCAGGCCCTTACACTCATCTTAAACAGAAGGCCATGCTCTTAATGGGGTGGGGGACCTCCACTGATGCCAAACAAATATTACGATACTCAGACAGTTGCAGATTGTTACAATAAACTGTGCAATCCATTTGAAGTCATTCACAATACAGAATAGAGAAGAAATTTGCCCAAGGTCACACAGAGTTTGGCTAGACCTGGGTGAGAACTTTTTTTTTTTCTGTACTATACCATGAGACCTTCTGATAGCCAATTGCTACCAAATACCTATGTCCAGCCTCAGCTTTCCCCAAAGCTCCAGACCCATATAACCTACCAATTCTCTGACATCTCCTCTGGGTTATCTCAAAAGCTCAATTCCTGACATCCAATACTGAACTCATGTTCTTTCCCTGATGCCAGTGTTTCATCCAGGGCTTTCTAGCTCTACAGATGACATCACCATCTATCCAGTTCCTGAGCCAGAGTGGAGGATTTGTGGCCAGTGCTTGAACACCAGTCCTGCCATTTCCTAGCTATGGCATTGAGCAAATTATATAAGGGCTCTAAGCCTCAGGTTTCTTCATGTGAAAAATGGGATAACAACAGTAATTACCTCATCATAAGATAGTTTGTGGGCATTGAAAGAGATGATGTGCTCAAATGCCAAACACACAGAAAATGTTTGTACATGCACTTTCCACCATCTTCTTGCCTGCTCCCCCTTTCCCACTCCCTCACCTGGTTAACACCTATGTATCTTTCTCATTCCAACTCAAATGTTGCTCCCCCCAGAAGCCTTTTGGGTCAGCCCTAACTCTCAAGGTTGAGTCACATCCATCCCACCCCTCCCCTATTTTCATCCTCAAAGCACTATGTAATTTCTTCTCACATCACATATTATAATTACATATTTACTCTGTGACAGTTTGGTTAATGACCATGTCTCTAATAGCTCCACAAGGTGCTATGAGGGCAGCTCCATGAGGGCAGCAGTGTTATACATCATTTTTGTATTCTCCACACAGTACCTGGCACTAATAAGTGTTCAGTAAATATCAGTTGGGTGAAGGACTCAAGAAACATGTTTGTCAGCAGAAAAGGGGACCTAGAGATTAGAAGAGAAATCACAGGGCACCAATCCAGGTGAGCACCTATGACCATCCCATCCTGGGGACAAGGTAGAAAGAGTCTGGCAAACTTTGTCCTACCACGGGAAAGCTCAGGATTCACTGCTTATTTGACCATCATTCTAACCATTCAGGACTTGGTCTCTGTAGAGCCAGAACACTGCAGGAACCTGCAAAGTCACGCCCTGGAGAGTCTGGGGATGAATACCAGTGCCTTTGATACCTTTGCTAATGTAAGCCTTGCTCCACAGTGGATGTGATTCTCATGTTGAAAGGCACATATTTTTGTACCACGGGACCTCTAAAGGCAGCCAACTACTCCATCTGGGGCTCAGCTGAAGAAACAACTGCCTATTCCAACTTGAGGGTAAAACTAAGCTGCACTGTCCCCAGAAGAAAATGGTATATTGGTTATTCAGTGTGGTACCAAGAAGGCACTTTCAAGAATATTTTTGTACTACACTCAACATTTGTTTATGCAGCAACCCTAGAACCTAGTCTCCTTGCAATATAGGACTCTAATATAGGACAAAGCATTAATATCTAAAGGTGCAGGTTTTGACATTGGACAGGCCTGGATTCAACTTGTAGCTCTGCTACTTACTAGTTATGAGTGAAACCTTAGATCAGCTATTTGACCTCTCTCAGCCACAGTCAGCTCATCTATACTAATAGGGATAGCAGTACCTAGATCTTATGGTTAAATATAAATAACTAGCTGAATTATTATCTTTAAGAAATTCTTTGTACACAGAGTACCACCTTAGAAGATCAAACTCTGTCACATGTCTAACATAGTGCCCATCCCCAGGAGGTATTCAGTGAACACCAGGATCTCCCTCAGACTTCGTTTATTCTGTTTCAGACTAGCAGTCCACTTCTTTTTTTTTTTTTGAGTTGGAGTCTCACTCTGTAACCCAGACTGGAGTGCAGTGGCCACTCCCGGCCACCACAACCTCGACCTGCTGGGCTCCGGCGATCCTTCCGCCTCAGCCTTCTGAGTAGCTGGAACTACAGGCGCATGCTACCACACCCAGCTAATTTTTGATTTCTTGTAGAGATGAGGTCTCGCCAAGTTGCCCAGGCGGGTCTCAAACCCACGGGCTCAGGCAATCCACTCACCTCGGCCTCCCAAAGCGCTGGAATTACAGGTTGAGCCACCGAGCCCGGAAGCAGTCCACTTCTTTATGGGAGTGTCTGACACCATGCTTTTATTCTGAGTAGAACTCTCTGTGCACAAATACTCCTTCCTGAGTTACACAATTGAAATGTTATATAAACCACTCTACTTTCTCTTGTCTTCAGTGTGAAATATTAAACCTAGTTTTTTTGTAATTTCTCATATCAACAACACACACACACCCTTCTTTAAGAATATAACTTCCCCAGCACAGGACCCAGAGATACTACACAAGGAAACAGCTGCTGACACAGAAAAAAAAAAATAAGAGCTCTTTATCCAAAGGAAAACACTAGAGAAAAAGAAGAGAAACTGAAATTGCCTAAGCTGTGGTATAGCCAGAAGAAAAGGAGACATCACCTGTGCTTTTGCCATAATATTTTTGTATCTATTACATAAAGGAAACAGTAGCCGCTGCCACCTGTAAAATAACTGTTCTCCAAACAACAGTGGCCCTGGCACTAAGAAAAAATACAGAAGGCTTACCTCTTTCAAAAGTTTGCCACATAATTAGAGGCACAAAATACATGGAAAACAATTGACAATGCACTGAATGAGTAATAATAAAGAATAAGGCAGAGACAAGTTAGGCTGCCTTAGAGAAAGCAAAGTTCTTCTGAAGGTGGAGCCTACCAACTAGGGAGGGGAAGGTGGAAGGATACATTAGACACACTAAATATCAAGAACCAACCAGGTTTATTCTAGAGACTCTGAAAAGGAGTAGAAACATACATAGTAGAAAATATTTGGAAAAATATATAACGTACAGAACAAGAAGCACAACATTTGCATAAGGAGGCAGTTTTATATCTTCCATGCAAAGAAAAAGAGGCCCATCAAAAAGCTTCATCCCCAAAGTCTAAAAGCGTGTCTCCACTCTCCCATTGGCACCACTCCACATCATCACTTACCCGAATAAGGGAGGCCTGATGCCGAAGGGGCTTGGTTCCTGGGCCTCCTGATGAGGGTCCCTCAGACTGGACAAGGGGCTGTCTGGCTTCATAAGGAGCTGAAACAGGAGGGAAAGTCAGCATGGTATGCAAAGATGCCACCCAAAAATTATGACATCACAATCAAACAGATACAGCCTCTGTTTTTCAAGGAAAAATTGGCAATGGAATTAAGAGTGTATGCTCACAGGAACCCCAGAACAGGCAAATCCTGATGCTCTTGGGTATAATTTCACTAAATAATATAAAGACATTCAACCAATTCATGATAAGACAGAAAAACATTTGTATTGGATTAAGACTATGAATAAATTGTGAGGATGGAACAGTGAGAACCTCAACTGAAACAGAAAACAGCAATAGCTAGAAAAGCGTCATGTCATAAGTGTTCAAATTCTAAATATAAGGAAAATCTACATATCCCCCATGTAAACGTTTTCCATTTATCACCATCCCCTCAAGAAAAAAAACTAATATGTATTTTAAGCACTAAGAATCAACATTACCATTTATTTCATTTTTGAAAAATAAATGGCACTATCTTCTTTATCAGACAGAATGGAAAAGCAAGTAGGAAAAAATATAAAAGTGATTAAATATATGTATTCTATGTTTATTACTGAATTATTCAATAACCAAACTTCAAAAAAAAATTGCTGCCTTTAAAATAAGATTTTAAGCCACAAAAATGAATTTATTTTTTTACTCCTTTTACTTGTAGAACACATAATAATGACCTCGCCAATATGGCAGGGAGACAGTTAAACATAACCAGGTAGTATTCAGCTCCAACAGAAAGGAGACACTATCACCCAACCTGAAATCATTTCTCATTGTTGTAGGTTAATAGTTCGAGTTCTTAAAAGTATATAAATAAGTAAAATGCTTTCTTTCTGTAGTTTACTTATAAATGAAATGAGGTGGAGAGCAGAGCAGCCTGGTATAGCACCATGTTTATCATAGTTTGATCTTTTTAAAATTAAGGTACAACAATAGCACACCAAGAACAACAAATCATTCTTGGGTTCACATGTGTTTTTTGTATTTCTTCCTAGCAATTGGAACATAACATTATAACACATTAAAATATATTAACACACATTAAAATAGCAAAATGATTGCCCGGAAAACCACTAAGTGGATTTTCAGAACCTGCTAAGAGTGACTAAAAGTATTAAAACTGCTTTAAAAAAAAATACGAGGGGTACCAAAAAAAAAATTATTTTTTTTAGAAGGTGGGCACCTTGTAGTATAGGCTTCCCCCACTAGGTAAGTATTCTGTCCCTTCTAAGGGAAGGCCTTATTCTAGGAACCCCTTGGCATCAGAGTACCAGCTAGCATTGTTGTGAAAGGCTGTGTTCTGCTTCAGTTAAAATTTTTGGAGGGAAGATTCTTTCAATGTGTTTGCCCATTTCATGATGAGTGATTTACAAGCTCACCTGCTCACACCATGGTGAGTGTTTAGTAGTTTTTCGCCAAAAACAGCATGACCCCCGTGTCCCATCCTCCCTATTCACCCAATCTCACTCCAAGCAACTACCCCTATCCCCTACCACCCACCCCAAAGAAAAAAGTCCTCAAAGGGAAACACGTTGCTGATATGGAAGAGGTGAAACAAAACAGCAGAATAAAAGGCATCAAAAACTATTTGGGGCCGTGAAAAAAGTATCTCAATAGGTGTATTGAGCCAAACAGAGTAAAATTTGAAGGTGACTGAAGCTTAAACATGTAAGAATAAATACACAATTCTCTATAAATAAATTCTGGGGTTTCCCTCCCTACCCCATACACAGAGTACAATAATCCAAATCTTTAAAAGTAAGACTCAGCTGGTAGCAGGCATTGTTTTCTGAGAAGTAGGATTTGTTAAATTATTCCATGTTGATGGCACACTGAATTAAATCCTTAATACCAACTGTGCTCTGCCGAAAGGTTTTGAACACAGTAAACCGTAGGGTGGTTGGAGTCCTAATGGTCACAAGCTTTCCCTAGGAAGAGAATTCCACATGCCTCTGCTTCCTATAAGAGCTACTACTGCCCAGGGGAGGCACATGGGGGAGGGGGAGCAGGCCACCATCTGGCCCTTGGTGCCCATCCCTCACCCACGGGGCCTTCCCTTAGAAGAGACAGATATATCTTATCAGTAAGACTTAGATGAAGATTCAGCTATCTGGGGAGTCATTTCTAAGAGAGGCAGATTCTCTCTTGCTACTTGTGTGAGAAGCCTGGGATCGCCAAGCCTGCCTGTGACTGATAAGGTGAGTATCTGAAGTCCATTCTGTCACAAATGCACTCTGATCAACTCTATCAGTAACAAAGCTGATATTCAGGCCATTATCAGTCTGATTTCTGGCTCCTTCCTCAACTGGACCTGAACTCAGGTGGTTAAAAAGTAAATATTACTTGACTTACTTCCCAAATGAAACCCAAAACATGCAACACAATGCAAAACAAATAATTCTTTGATCCCCTTACAAAAGGTTTAACAAGGAACTAGGAGTACCACCTTTCTCCAATCAAAGGTGTACAAAAAAATTCTAAAGCATCCATCACTCTGAAGTTCATTGGTAAACTGAAACTGTTTGGCAGTTTTATACACACCTACCCTAATACCCAGCGACTCCATACCTAGGTGCCAAGGAAATGACAGCGTGTCACAAAAGGACTCAGACATGTTCATAGTATCCTTATTCATAATAGTCAAATGCTGGAATCAACTCATGTCCAGCAACAGAAGAATGCTACTGAATAATAAAAAGAAATAAACTATTGATGCAACAACATGGATAAATTTCAACTATTATGCTGAGGGAAAGCTAGCAGACACATATGAGTATAGTCAGTCATTCTGTATGTTTCCATTTGTATGAAATTCTAGAAGAGGCAAAACTAACCAATGGTGATAAATATCAGAATAGTGCTTGCTTTGGGGGGCAGGGAGTGACCAGAAGGGGCATCTCAGGCTTGATGAAAACTTTCTATTCTTGATCGAAGTAGTGGTTACATGAGCACATCCATTTGTTAAAACTCAAATTTAAGATTTAAAATGTGTGCATTTTATCATATGTAAATTGTAACTCACTTTTTAAAAAGTATAGAAGGGAATGAAGGCATGGACAGCCTTGGCACAGGCTGAAGTAGAGAGAGAGGAGAGTACAGACAAGTTTTAACAGGATATCAAAGGTAGAACTTGGTGACAAGAGTGACTTGGTAGAACAAAACAGATTCATCTGTGAATTAAAAACCAACTTCCAAGCTCAAATAAGATTAGAAATAGGAAAAAAAAAAAAAAAAAAACACTTCTAACAAGAGGAAAATCAGGCAGGAAAAACTATAAGAAAAAAATGAAGAATTCTCAACCCCATTTAGTTTCTGACCCTAACAGGATACTTAAGTTGCAGGAGAGTGATTTTTTGCTACTATCCATTAGCAACACCATCTTGCATGTGCATAGAACTTAATTTCCAAACAGATTTTATACTCATGTTCTCACTTAATCCTCCTTAACAGCCCTCTAGGATACTGTTACTCCATTTTCAGAGAGGAGACAAAATCCTGGCTCAGAGATGTCAAATGGCTTGCCCAAAGTCCTACAGCTAGTCACAGAAGCCCACACCTGCTTCCAGTCAAAAGCTATTGCTATTATGCCATATTCGTTTCTCTCTGCAAGATTACAGCCTCTCTTTAGTTTAGCCTAGCACACACTTTTGTTTCTGTGTCCCTCTAGAAGTCACTACTATTTTCAGTGCAGCAAAAACCTGCAGAATCTGGGTCATTTTGGGCCAGAGCCCACAAAATAAAAAGGGGGAAGGGTACAGATATCCATTCAAGAATATCTTTAATTGGTCATATCTTAAACTAAGAGTCTGAACCCCAGGAGAACAACACACTGCAGTAAATTTATGGCACTTTAAGCATTGCAGCCTGAGCAGCCAACTCTGCAAGTCATCCTCAGAACCAACTAACATATTTTACCACTAACAAGTCCAGCAGAGCATAAATGTGAGTTAGAAGGCAACCCTACAACTGTGCGCGTTACATACCTCTCAGCAAAATGCTATCTCAAGCATTTCCTTAATCCTTATTCCAAAACACAAGACCTACATATTTTCAGGTATGCGCTCAGTCTTTAAAGGTTGGATCAACTCTTCTGCCTTTGCATAGTTGTATTCTTTAAGAAATTTCATAAAAGCAGTTATTATATAAATATGCTTGGTGTATTTGCAGAAAGGAATAACAAGTCCAAAAAAATACAAATCCTTAACATGCTATGTTCTTGTTTAATGAAATCTGTATATGAAGACTAAATCATCTAAATAGTTGTTTACAAGTCTAAAGATGAACTAATTTCTAGGACAGGAGACAAAGCATTACTGAGATATATTTAATTTCATTTTTTTTAAATCTTCCTTGAGAATATAAAATTAAATCAAGTCATGTTTCCAAAGACAAGAGTAATTAAATCAGGAAATTAAGCAGCTGGTGGCATTGCTGCCTGGTAGATTAAGGAGTCTCTAAGACACTGCCTGGGACAGCTGACCCCCAGGTCGCCTCTTACCTGGATGCATCTGTTCTGTGCCGCTCCGCAGTTTGCTGTAGCCATGGCTCAAGGGCACCCTCTGGTAATGAGGCGGGGAAGAAGGAGGGGAGGCGAGGGGTGACATCGTGGGAGACTGTGTTTCCTGCTTCAAAGAACCAGAGCAGAGTTCAGAGGCGACCACTTGAGAAGCCTGGCATTCTGAGCTGCAGGCAGGAAGCATAATGCAACTCTACTGCTGGTGACCCAGCTGATTTAACAAATGGGGGGGGTGTTTTCTCAAAAATGCAGCATGGTTAAACAGCAGTATCTGAGAATTCAAAAGTCTCCCAGAGAATAAAGTCTCATCAGTACTGAGTTACCTAAATTACTAAAACCAGCCTGAAACACTTTCAAGTTATTCCAATAATATTTTCCTTTGGAAAATGCAAGACACTGATCACATGAAATAACATTCATACCCCCAGCTGTGATCTCTTTGTGGATTTTCCTGGATTTATACTTATCAAGTCTTTTAACAAATGTGAATATTAAAATATATTTTTAAATGCATAATGCTAAATATTCTTAGAACTTACTATGTCAAAAGAAAATGCTAGCTTTTTTTACAATGAGAGATTGCAAAACAATCCTTATGGGTAAACCACTCCAACTAGCTTACTCTTAAATAAGAGGACGAAGCCTTTAACAAGCTGCAATTTGAACCCTAATTTGAATATGTACCTGATGTAGAACTTTAGGCAAGGTAAGCAACCTCATCTGTTGTTGGGTTTCCTCTTTTTTTGGTAAACACAACCAATAGGCTGGTAACTCTGGAATACCCAAGTAAAAAGGCAACAATGCTTTTTTTTTTTTTTTAATGAACACAGAGACTACACAGGCTCCCTTGATCTAAAGAGAAATATGCAGTCTGAGATACTGATCAAATACTCTTTTTCAAGAAAAAGTAAAATGTATTTGTACTGAAGGGTGAGCTCACACCCACAGACTGGGTGTGCCTAGCATAAACTCAGCCTGAAGTGAAAGGATGTGTCGACATTTACACAGCCAGGGACTGGGTCTAGAAAATTCCCAGGGCATCAACCACTGTGGGACAGTGGACCCTCTTTTCTCACCAAATGCTGGTGGAAGAACATGTCAAAAAATATAGACCGAAAATTCCTATAGCCTCCCCTCCTTTTTAAATACATTCCTGAAGAACTGGTTAAAAATGTATCAGAATCATGAAGGCAACATTACAAGACATTGTTCAACAGGATATGTTACACCTTCCTTAAACTAGGAATATGCAATATCTGTAGCAATACCTCATATATCCAGCATCATCAGGATGAGCCATAGAAGTTAGTTTTCCATTGCATTGTTAATATTCATTGCATTGTTAAAACATTTTGATTCAAGTCTTCCTAAAATATAACAAATTCCTTTACCTTACAAGAGACACCATGTCGAGTACACTTTGATTTCTCTGTGTGATTCAGTATCTGTATTAGAAAGATGAGCTATACCTTGATGCCCACAGGGTTTACTAACATGTAGTCTATTTATCCCTTTCTGAGATTTTAGAATTTTGTACCCACCAATCACCATCTCACTATTGCAACTAGTGGCTTAATTTTAAAAGCCATCCTTCCTACTCTAGTTCCAAATCTGCTAAAGGGGTAATGGCAGCATTTTCCAAGATGGCATTCCAAATATGTTCCCCAAGAAAGGAATCCCTGATGAAAAAAGTTTAGTAAGCACAGATCTCTGGGTTTCTTCACTGCAGAACTTCTCAGGGCCTTTACCATGTTAATGTGCACTATAAATTTCCAAGATGGAGGATTGAGTTTTTCCCCCAAGAATAAGATATGAAACAGCATTCTCCAAACACATTTAATCAGAGAAACCTTTTTTCAGACTTTCTTTTGGAGAAGAAGACCTATTAAAAACTCTTGGAAGTTACACTGCAAAGAACCCATTTAGGAAACCACTGACCCAGAGAAATCAATAAGTGTATTAAATCAGTAGCCTTATTTTAGACACAATTCTACTTTAAAGTAAGCTCTAAAGGGCCTATGGGTGGCTCATGGTAATTCCTATGCATCAACCTCTTTTTCTTGATACACGGAAACTTTAGTGGCTCACTTCCAAGTCTATAATTGTGTTCCAGATGGTGAGATTTGCTACAGATATGAGGCCCTGTACACAAGGTTTCATGGTCAGAATCAAATGAACATGACTGCTCAGATGGTTTACCTGTTTATCCTCATCGTCCATTCTCTTGAAGGAATTTTTTTCCGTAGTTAAATATGGAACCTGAACCTTAGCTCCATGCAGTTCAGCCGGGTTCCCAAATCGCATCTCCCCATCGTTCTTTGACATCACAAAGCGAGGCAGAGGCAATTCTTTAGGACCAGAAAGCAGAGAAGCTGAAGTGAGACTTGGTTTACAAATTGCAAAAAGGGGAATTCATTGGCCAAAAGATGAATCATTTTTGAGAAAAAATTCCAGAGCACTAAATATAGACTGACTTTTGATTTAGACACAATGATGACTCCTATAATAATGTCATGATTTTTAAAATGCTACGGTTTAATCAAAATATTCTGGCTTGACATTTTTAATGTTGCCAAATCACTGCAGAACAAATTCAGGTTTGGAACTGATCTTCCAGTTCATTCTTTAGTCCGGCAACCAAGAAAAAGGATATGATATTGCATAAGTACAATAATAAGTGACAAATGATAACAGGTAAAATTTACATAGTGCCAGGCACAGTATTACGGATTTGTAAATATTAACTCATTTAATCCTCACAACAACTCTGTAAGATAAAACTATCATTACTCTTCCTTTACAGATGTGGAAACAGACATGAAGGAGCTAAGTAATGTCCCCAAGATCACACAGTCATCTGTGGCAAGCCAGCGTCTTAACCCAGGCAGGCTGGCTCTTAACCAGTGCCCTATAGAAAGGTCCTTCTTTCCTAGGGCAAACTTTCTGGGTAGAACAGTTTCTCACCCCTGTAATTATTTAAGGAATCTTCACACTCAATCTCTGCTTGTCTTTTCAGAATGCAATTAAAAAATGGTATCAAGTCAAAGTAATGAATCTAATGGTCAGCCAGATTCTACTGTCAAAACCATTAGCCACTCACAATGCTACAGAGAGCTGAAATGCAACAGTCTGGTATATTTACTTATCTTTCAGATTTCTGACAAAACTATTCTGAAAATGGAAATGATGCTTTGGCATACTTCTAGTTCTTAGCACAGCTAATCATACACAATCATAGCACAAAGACTTACAAAAATGGGGACAATATTATAGATTATGCATAGTGATTTACATCAGTATCCATTGTTCAGGATAATACTCATCAGCGTGCCTTTGCACTTCTATCAGCTCTCTATTCCAAAAACACAGCTGCACTCCCAATGATTGATGCTGTGCTAAAGCCAGAAAACATCTTAGCAACAGCAAGCAAGTATCCTAGCTCCCCAGGCAAAGAAGGCCCCTGCTCCTCTAATATCCACGTCATGTTTATTTTTAGTTGCTATGTCTACATTTGATTCAAAGAAGAAGGCAATATGACAAATCCCTGTGTGATCAATCAGCCAAAGGCCCAAGAGACATAAATAGAAAAACCAATTGGGAAAATTAAACCAAGACTCTAAAAAGAGGATGGCCACCATTTTTAATGTTTTAATGTTTCCCAACTTCGGGCAGCTCTCCAGTACTCAAGACTGGAATGGCCTCCAAAAGCAAAAAGACAAAAGAAAAGAAACTAGATTCTTAGTAAATCAAATATAAGCGAATCCTATAGTTCTGCTCTCAGAAAGGTATTTGTTTCAACTCATTCTGCAAAAAGGATCTAAAAAGATGGAATAAAGCCGGGCTCGGTGGCTCAGCCTGTAATCCCGCGCCTTTAGGAGGCCGAGGTGAGTGGATTGCCTGAGCCCACGGGTTTGAGACCCGCCTGGGCAGTGAGACCTCACCTCTGCAATAAATCAAAAAATTATCCAGGCGTGGTAGCGCATGCCTGTAATTCCGGCTACTCGGAAGGCTGAGGCGGAAGGATCGCCGGAGCCCGGCAGGTGGAGGCTGCAGTGGCCGGCAGCGGCCACTGCACTCCCAGTCCGGGTGACAGAGTGAGACTCCAACTCAAAAAAAAAAAAAAAGATGGAATAAGTTCACATAAAATAATCTGTACCCTGATCTGCCCATGAGACTCTATGTCCAAGTTCTTTTTAAGGAAGCAAAGAAATACCCAGTATTTATAAGCTCCTTGACTAGTGTTATATTGGCATTCAACAGATACCTCCAGGGAACAATGGATACAATCCTGGTATTATGAAAATCAATTATTATACCAGGACTTAAACAGGGCCCCCAGATACCCTTTAGGACACTGTCAACTTTATATATTCTTCTGCCCTAGCATTTCTCTGGAACTGACAGCCATCAAACAGCAAAAGACAAAATACAGCTGAATTTCTCTTGTACTTTCTTTGGTCATGTGGTTTGAAATAACTCTCACTTAATAGAATTGTAATCATATATAATTATATTCTTATCATTGAAATTTTTCAAGAAGGTGCCATTTCCCTTAATCTACTGCAAGATTTTTTTTTTTAATTTTTCAAAGAGGGTCTCACCCTGTCACCCAAGCTAGAGTGCAGTGGTTCAATTCTGGTTCACTGCAGGCTCGAACTCCTGGGCTCAAGCATTTACTCCGCTTTAACCTCCCAAGAAACTAGGACTACAAGCACATGCCACCATGCCTGGCTAATATTGTGTGTGTGTGTGTGTGTGTGTGTGTGTGTGTGTGTGTGTGTGTGTGTGTGTAGACAGGGTCTTGCTATGTTGCCCAGACTGGCCTCAGAATCCTGGCCTCAAGCGATCCTCAGCCTCCCAAAGTGTCAGGATTACAGGTGTGAGCCACTGCGCCTGGCCCTGCCACAGTTTCAAAAAATGAAACGTAAAAGTACCTTGCAAATTTTCAGTCAGAATGTTTTTCCTAGACATACATACACCAAATTTGATAGTGAAATTTTATTAGAAAATTATTCAAGGGAGGGAAGGGGCACGTACATCACAAAGGGTACCTGGTCCTTCCTAGACCAGGGGAAGTGAGGGCCCGTTGGAGGTCCAAACTTTACCTGCCTGAAGCCTGCCTGTGTAACTAATCCTGACTTGTAACCCACATATCTATAATAATAAAAATAGAAAATTAATCAATAAAGTATCTGCTATACAGTGATATATGTCAAGTAATTACAGAAGGTCTACTTGTAGAAGTTGGTTAGGGCCAGGCTCAGTGACTCAGCCTGTAATCCCGCACTTTGGGAGGCCGAAGTGAGGGGATTGCCTGAGCCCTACAATAAATCTCTACAATAAGTCAAAAAATTAACCGGGCATGGTAGTGCACACCTGTAGTTCTGGCTACCTGGAAGGCTGAGGCGGAAGGATCACCAGAGCCCACCAGGTCGAAGCTGCGGTGGCCGGGAGCGTGCCACTGCACTCCAGTCTGGGCAACAGAGTGAGACTCCAATTCAAAAAAAAAAAAAAGAAGTGAAAAAATCAGTCACAAAAATACAAATATTATACGATTCATTTACATGAGGCATCAAGAGTAGTAAAACTTGTAGAGACAGAAAGTAGCCATGTAGTTGGGCAGTGAGAGGAAAATGGGGAGCTTAATGGGTACAGGGTTTCCATTTTGCAAAAAATATTCTAGAAATTGGTTAGGCAACAATGTGAATATACTTAACACTACTGAGTTATACACTTAAGAATGGTTAAAATGGGAAATGCTATGTTATTTGCATTTTATCACAATTAAAATTTTTTATTTCAAAAAAAATGTTCAGCTGGGTACAGTGGCTCATGTCTGTAATCTCAGCCTTTTGAGAGGCCAAGGCAGGAGGACTGCTTGAGCCCAGGAGTTCAAAACCAGCCTAGGCAACGTAGCAATACCTCATCTCTATAAAACATCAAAAAATTAGCCAGGTGTGGTGGTACATGCCTGTAGTCCCTGCTACTCAGGAGGCTGAAGTGGAAGGATCTCCCGAGCCCAGGAAGTTGAGGCTGTGGTGAGATTTTTCTTTGTCATTACAGGACTTCATAAATTAAATCATACAGCATTTGTCCCTGTGGTGATCATGCTACTGCATTCCAGCTTGGGTGACAAAGTGAGACCCTGATTCAAAAAAAAAGTTTTTAAAAGGTAAAATTAATTGTAAGAATCTGTTTTCAACCTGGTATTATCATTTCAACACATAATCAATATAAAAAATATTAAGAAAATATTTTACATTATTTTTTCATACTAAGTCTTCAGATTCTCATTTGTATTTGACCCTCCCTGTACACCTCGATTCACACTTGCCACATTGATAGTTGCTGCATGAGAATTTGGGCCATGGTAGTCAAAAATCTATATTTTACTAAAAAATATTATAATATTAAATATCAGCTAATTGACTTCTTTTAAAATTATATATATGGCATTTTGTATAGAGGAATATTTCATATGGATCTGTAAGTGTATCATGTGAAGAGTTTTGACAAATATATATACATATACCCAGGGGTGCCAAAAAAGTAAATATACTTTTTAAGAGATGTCATCTATGTAGGTATTACTTTTCGGAGTTGAACTGCATAACAGTAGCAATATGTAGTAAGACTTTTGCTCAAGAGATGGCATTAATCAAATGAATGCTAGCGCCACCATGCAACAGGAAGGACAGTCAAAGAAAATGGCAGAAGCACAGTTGTCATTAGAAGAGCACAAGACCATTTTGAAGTGGTATTAGAAATTCCAGAAGTACAACAATGGAGACATGAGTATGTAATAGAACTTCCAACATGCCTAACAATTCTATTCACATCCATAATAAGTTTGAGATTCATGGTACTGTGTGAGATGTGCACAAGGAAAGATCCGGGAAGCCTTGCACAGCAACAAGTCCTGCAGTAGTTCACCATGACCGGAAGTGTTTGGATGCTGATGGTAACTACTTTGAGTACCTCTTGTAATTGCAGAAGTCAAACGTGACTTGTATTCATCTTTTGTTATGAGTATATATTGAGTATTGCAAGTTTAATTCAGTTTTTTTCCTTAAAATGTATATATATTTTTGGCACCCTCGATATATATATGTAACCAACATCCAAACTAAGATAAAGAATTTTCCTTCATGTTCCTTTCCAGTTAATCCCTTCCCCTTGTCCCACCCAACAACCTCTGTACTAATTTCCAACCCCACAGATTTTTCTTTGTCATTACAGGACTTCATAAATTAAATCATACAGCATTTGTCCTTGTGTAAGGTATTGTCCAGACATAGACTCTTTCCCCCCATATCTGGTTTCTTTCTTGCCCCTCCCTCAGGGAACA